TAGTATTCCAACAGCGCATGCCCAAACAGAAGCACCTCCAAAGCTATTTGGGAACACCAGCACATGTGCTCAGGGCTTGAAATTAACAGGCGCAGCTAGCTACAATGTGCCTGTCTGTCTCAGAAAGTAAGTACTTGCGCCCGAAAATCATAAAGACGGGCTCAAGTACTTACGCCTGTTTGATTCCATTATTGTAGTGAAAAATACATGTACCTGAACATTTTTACCATTTGTTTCTACTTTTGTCACAAAAAATACCTGAACCTTTTGACTTCACTTCGGATCAGCCTTGTCATGGAACCATAACACAGTACAATTTTTTTACGATGTCACTGAGCGCACGCCGCAGTCTCACATGTGATGCATGAACACACATGAACGTACACTTGCATACCCGTGATCAGTGTCACGATCTCGCTGAATGGTCTGTACAGTGGCTGTGTCTGAATTGACACGGCTGGAATTTACTCGTGATTGTATGGAAACTGACTGCGACCACAACCTCCTAGACTCGTGCGTAAATTCAAGCCAAACCAGTGGATTCTTGTTGAATTTTGTTGGTCTTCGTATCAGAGGCCCAGGGTGATGTTGTTAGATTTTGTGAGTTGGGACACACAGGGGTCATTGTGTGCAGTGTCTGGCTTGCTGTACCAATGATTGAACAATGCTTGATTTTGTCAGGTTTGGTACTGCTACAGTGTAAGTCATCCTATACTGCATAGACCCATCCATACCATATCACTCAAACTCCGACGGGCTCATTCTGTTGGAGTTTATCAGGTTTGGTACAGTAACCTGCATGTACAAGTACCGGTACATAGACAAGTACATGAACCTGTTGGATTTTGTGAGGTTCAGTATGCTTTCTACTGCAGGAGCCCAGGGGATAAGAGTTAATATGGAAGAAACCAAAGCCATTATAAAAATTGGGTGTAACGGCTGCAACCATGAAATCAGTCAGAAATGCAACCTTTGTCACAATTACCAGAGTCAAGGAAACACTGGGACATCATGTAGGAAAACGTTCCCTGCCAGGATTAATGCAATTAGCATTGATTTGCATAATGCCGACAGCTTTCAGCAGGATTTTCAGATGCATGTATCTGCACACATGATGGTCACAAGATGTGCCATGCTCCAGTGCACTCTAGGTGACAATAGTCACCAACTGTCAACAATATTGTCTTTATGGTCCAAATCAGCTTCCTATTGAGGTTGTCCATCCAAACCTTACCTTTGTCACACTTACATATATGTACCATTGTCACAACTCTTGCCAAGATTAGTCCCTTTTTGGCCTGCAAATTAACTTTAAACAGTGGAAATTTTGACAATTTCTAGAATGTATTCATACAAAGCAGATATGATTTTGACACATGCAACTGGTAGGTCAGAAGAGAAAGGGTAAATTCCAAGCAATACATGTACATGTATATGACGGACAGTATTTTTAAGTTTTGAATTGGTGCACACAAGAAGTAAAAAAGAGGAAATCAGCTGCTCCAAGGAACTGTTAAGTCTGTTAAATTAGTTCACATTGAATATTGTTGGATTTAGCATGGTTACAAGGGGGCATGTGGCTAAGTGGTTAGGGTTTGTAGCTTCTAATCATAAGGTTGGAGGTTCGAATCCAGCCGCTGGCAGTATGTTGTGGCCCTTGGCAAGCCTCTTCACCCCTGCTTGCCTCTCTCCACCCAGGAGTATAAATGGGTACCAGCATTAGCTGGAGAAGCAACGTGCGATGAACTGGCATCCCATCCAGGGGGAATAGAAATATACTCAGTCGTTTCATGCCATGGAAACCCGAGATAAACACCGGCCTGATGAGCCAAATTGGCTCGGACCAGACTTGCATTTTTTTAAAGCATGGTTAGGGTTAGGCGTAAGCCATTGGATATGCACACATAACAGTAGACATCATGGAGGGAAAGACACTGTGGTGTAAAATCCTCATTCATCAAAACATGTCTCCACATATTGTTACAGTGACACATCTGATATGTTCTTACTTCAAATTCCACTTCACAAGCATGTGAACAACTAACATATGTAGCATTCTGTAAATCTCTGATTCTGTATAATGTCCAAATGGTAGGAGCCCTCTGGGAACATGTTGAAAATAACTTGCATAATGAAAGGCGCATTTGCTTAGTAGAAACAACTGGAACCTAAAATTACCCAAGAGGTTTTATGTTAGGAACTTACATGTAGGGTACAGTGTACAGTGCGGAACGTTTCAGAGATAAAATGCAAAATAAGAGACTAATACATTTATTTCGGGCTCCATTTTTTACTAAAATTTCTTGGAAATTTGGTACCAAAGAGGATTGTTTTATATGTGAGTTCTTAACAAAAGGACAAAACTGGCCTAGCTTAACAAAAATCACTAAGCCACAATTGCTTTCAGAAGTGAGTGCCTGGCCGAAATCCTTTGACATAATTTTAATGCATCTGGAGTTACCCCTGAAAACAGTGTACAAACTAAACATGTATATTAGTCTCTACTGTAAAAACACATTTGCCACTGGTAAAGGAGATGAAAATTTACACTTGCAATAATACTTTTTGCACTGCCACTGTCACGTTGGATTTGAATTCCTTCTGAAATTTTCTTTTAAAAAAATTACGTTTGGTGGAAGAACTCTAACAAATCAGAATTTTCATTGAGAAGATTCAAAACAGCAGAATTCAACTTTAAATTGGGATAGTTTCATCTCTGTTAACATGCTTGTGAAATGAAAACATACCTAACGTAGATCACTGTAATCAGGGGTTGGGGATGAGTTCCATACACTGACACCAGATGACACACCGTGCACAAACCTTATGAGATTAGTCTGAAAAATTCTTGTTTCCTTAGTAAAAGAATTTTTCTGGACATGTTTTTGCTTTCTGATGGCTAACAGGTCACTGTAGGGAATAATTTCTAGCGTCTGTATGTGGAGTGGTGAGTCATGTATTTATTTCATGGTGGTTTCTTCACCACTACGTCAGTGGGTCTAGATGGCTTGGAGCTTTAGAGGGCTGACTTACGCGGTACTTGCTTGTTTGCCTCTGGAAAACTTTCACAACGAAACACACCTGAGCTCTTTTTTTGATGATAGTGTTGGTGATTTTGGTGTTGGCCCAAGGTGTCGAAGTGCTGCAAAATTCCCTGGATTAGAAGTTATGCCACAGGTATTAACAATGGTCAAAGTTTAGATAGACCTACATGTAAATGTACATTTCCCAAACCTCCTAGTAAAGCCTATTCCACTTGCAGATGCAACATTATTAGTGGTCTAACATTGTCTAATGTTGATATTGCCAAATTTATGGGCTTAACATTAGATTAGGGCCTAATGTTAAATCAGTACTAATCCTAGTCAAAATAAACACTGAGTGATATTGATGAATTGGCGATTTGAGCAAATAACATGGCTAATTTCAAAGACTTCTTCATGAAAAGGATACCCTCTATTCTGAGCTTCATCACTTGTTCCTTGTCCTGTTCCTTGTCGGTGTCTTCATCCGGAACTTCCAATGCTCCGTCCGCTTCATCACCTTGGGTCGATGATGGAGTATCTGTAATGTACGTGCGCAAGGCAATGGGGAAAAACCCGCGATGAAACATGCCATGAACCCAATACTAATGTGATGATTTCTGTAAAATGGACACCCTAGTGCCCATATGTCTGGCCCACAAAAAGGCTGAAAGACCGGAGCTTACCTTTATTTTTATGACCGACTACTTTTTCGGCCCATGACGACCAGGGCTGGCCCACAAACTGTGACGGACTGCCGTGGTCTACGGTCGCCATTGCTGTTCTGCCGTGTTGCCTGCCATGTATCCCGTCGTGCCGTGCGCGTGACGTCACTGACAGTTCGCACGCGAGCAGCACGAGTACATGGGAGTACTTTGCAGGGCTCTTATTAACTTTTTAGTTCTCGTTTCTTACGACTTGGCATCACTCCCGTTTCCCTCAAAGTGACATTGATTAGATTGATGTATCCCTTTCTCAATGTCGACTTAATCTGATTTTCTCTTGTGTTTTACTTTGGCTCTCTTCATCGATCATTTTGCATGCTTCCCGTAAGCGGTACTTCCTCAAGTCCTCTGGGTCGTTCTCGTTCCATGGACCGGATCGACATTTTTTATGCACAAACGATGAGAGGGATAAATCTGAGAGCAGTAGTGTGAATGGGAAATGACGGTGTCACACTCACGTTGTGCATATGCTGATATTAAGAAATATTGTACCAGTGCCGTAAAAAATGAAAAATGCAGAAAACGTTCATGTAAAAAATCAAGAAATGCTAGCATGATCCTCAAAGACAACAAAAAATTGGTCATAAATGTATTGGGGATATGGGTAGGGTGGTCATTACCATGTCTGTACTATGCTGTTATTGCATGTCTCTCTTTTTCTCAATGCACTAAAATAGCGACATCACAAAACCAAAAAAGGGAGTTACAACAAAGGGGAGCAGAATTCCATAACTTCGTCCAATGGTGACAAATTTACGGCTAAACCATGTTTGATCCTGTTCATGCAAGTCCTCCTCATTCTTTCTGCTCTTTTCTATTGGGGCTGAAACTTTGTTTTCAGTTGAAGTACGTCTTTTAGCTTTCAATGAGATTGTGATTCAATACAAACATTTTTTGTCATTTTTTAGCTTTTTGTTTTATTTCCAAAAGATAAATCACAAAAAGTGAAGATAGATTCAAACAACTGGATACCCTGGTTCAGACCCTGTCCATCTGAAGAGGCCATATTCAAATAACAAACCTGCAACTTATTCAAACAATGATTAGTCCACGGATGGCAGGAGGTGGACCCCAAAGGTTTGTCAGTTTACTGCTGCCAAGTTATTCTCCCTTCTTTCCCCAGACAAGGTTCTGGCGACACCCGTGTTCCTCATCTTTTTTTCTGATACCCAATGTTGGGAGTGAGGGGGTCCTTGCAAGTTGCATGAAGAAAAAGGAGCTTTCAAATTAAAACACAATCTGAACATACACATACCTTCTCAGCATACTTAAAACTGTACACTATTTCATACTGCACGTCTGAATGTAGTTTTAATGTAATCAACATTGGATGTGATTGTAACATGAAGGATAGTATTCAGTCCTTTGCAAGAGATCCTTTAAATTACACAAACACAAAAAAGTTAATGACTTCGAGGTTTTTTTTACAATGTTGCTTGTATACAGTAATAGCAAAACATCAAGAATTGTTAAACAGCCCACAGGATTCTGCACTTTCTGACTTAACCTTGGAGTTTAGTAATACACTACGCACTGTTTAATTAAACACAATAACAGGTTAAATTGCAAACTACAAATAAGAATATACGCTTGGAGTGCAACACTGAAGTTGTTACATGTATGATGTTGAGTCCAATTTTACTGGGGATTCACACAGCTATTTGAATGAGTAAATATTGAGTCATCAATGACAAAATTGATTGGGCGGTTGTCCTTGTTGCAATGAAGGACATGATCAAATGCCCCTTTGAATGAACGTGCTAAACTCTTGCTACTTCAGATGAAATACTATTCCTAATTGGAAATAAAAGTAACTTCGAAACCAACTCTAATTTCGCTATTTTACAGGAAATTATTTAGTGTACTTTTGTGAGACATCCATGCATAGCACAGTTTTTCTTACCAACATATTGAATAACTGTAAATTGCTCTGAGTAGTTAGTACCCAGCAAATTTCTGCTACCTACAGTTCATATCTGAACAAGACAGTGTTTTTTGTAACTTATCTTTGGGTTTCACATAATTAGCTATCCTGTCAAGAAGTTGTTAGTAAATTAGTGTACATCTATGCATTTAACAAAATAAATGTCATTTTTATTGGATATAAGACAAAGAAGACAACTGCTTCCCCATAAGAAAGAAAAGACCACCTGTTAAACCTTAAAGTCTACAGAAATTAATGAAAAAAAAAGTTTAGTATTTACAAGGGCATACAGACTTGTCTTTGCTTACATCAGAATAAACATCTCCAATTTGCTTTCCAATGTCTAAAGATGCTTCCAAATTTATGTACAGAAGTACACCTACTTGTACATTACAAAGGCTGGAGCAATAAACAAGGCGGCAGATACAAAACAATGTGATTAAAAGAATTTTGTTAATTAAGAGTACACTTTAGTACTTCAAAGAATGTAACTCCAACATTTTTTTCATTTTCTTTCCCTCTTTTTTAAATTTCACGTTTTAAAGTCCTTTTTCAGGAAAAGGAAACACACTATACGTAACAGGCAGCTGCTAAATAAATGGAACTAAGCATCTTTATTCTTTCTCGTCAGTATTAAGGCAATCAAATTTACCGCATCCTCAATTTGAAATAAACTGAAGTAATCAATCAGTTACTATTATTATTGTTTCTTCTGTTTTCTATAACTTTTCAATACAAAAAATTGAACTCTTGCACCTTTCTTGCGAATCACAAGAGGGAAAACAATGTAAATACTTGCAAGGGTGCCATTTGAATACAGTCCAATTCGGACTGGGTCATGAATTCTGAAGGATGTGCCTTTCAAATGCATTTCTTTGAATGGTAGGTAAAAAGATATGGAACCCTCATCATTAGCAGAGATTTCAGCAAAAGACGTCTGCTGGTCTTGTCAAAGTTTTCAAAGGCTAGCACACTCGCAGTCTTTATTGAAAAATAGGAATGAGGTTTCAGAGACTCATTAAGAGCATTTTATTCAAAACAGCCTGTGTACATATTCTATCACTGACACATCTAGGCTCTGCTTTGAATGGAAAATGATCTTGATGAAATACAATTGGACTGCACAAGGGAAGGGATTACACATGACTAATTTGTCAACTCACTGTATCCAAACACCAAGGAAACATCACTAGCAAAAGGCGAAATCATTAATATAAAATAATTATCCGAAGGTCATATTTAATTTAAGCAAAACTATATTTCTTTGCAGGTTCTGATTTTTCCTTTCTCAGGGTAGTATGAGGCAGTATGAGGTAGAAATTAAAAAAAAAAGAAGAAATATATTTTAAAGGGTAGAACAAAATGCTAATACATATCACTCAACAAAGCAAGCAAGCAGAATGATTAAACAGATAAATGTAACGACTTTTGACACACTTCTTGAAAAAGTGGATGTGGATATTTAACTAAGCATGTGACAATTATGAAGTGCTATGCAGAAGACAGTGGTCATTACAACATTCATCCATAAAGCCAGAAATAAATTTCTATTCAATATAATAACGAAATTGCACTAAGATTTTACCGAGACAAATGGGTAATGCTTTCACCAGCACAGAAGAGATACCTCAAAAACTCTATATTTAGAAAGCTTTTACTTGTGGGTGGAGTTCCTTTTTCAATCAGATGAAATGATCTACTCCAAATGTGCAAAAAATGGCAGAAATCAAATTGCTAATGCCCATAATTATTTGCAAAAAAGAGTTTACTGACAAAGCTTTGCATCTGCTCTTGGAAGAAACTGTGGTGAGTTTTTAATTACAAGTGATGCACTGTAAACCGTTTTTTGTTAACTAATGCTTCCAATTCTTTACATCAATATTTCTTAGCTTCTCTTCTACTTAATACAAGCACACCATAACCCTTTCTTCAAATGACACCTCTCTGCAAGACAAAACTTTGTACATGTTTGCAGTAATTGATGTACACACAATCACAATGTTAATTTGAGGTCAACAGCAGATCCCAGATGCATAAAAAAATGTGACTACATCTAGCATTTCTGTGTAAATGTGAATTCGTTAGTGAAACTGAAAAAAAGGTATAGCTTTCCTTAAGACATGGTGAAATATGGTGTGCTATTATGTTTTATTTACACCTCTGCACATTTTAGAACACTACCAAAACAATGTTGACAACCCTGACAGTGTCTGGTGTTGAGGTTCAAATAGCAAAATGATAAATGACACATACTGTTTGAAACAATGTGGGAGCCTTGCCACTTTGATGTTCATTTATGGACTCTACACAGAAACTGTGGATGTGTTGTCTGGCCTCCTCATGAGAGCTACAGTACAGACAAACAGTGCACAAAGTACACAACCATTCTGCCTCTAAACTTGCACAAAGCTGTAGTGTCCTTAAATGGGCAATGACCATACAGCATCAACGGCACTGAAGTGTCTGCCACCATCTCTCTGTCACCAAATGGGGACATTCTTAAGCAGAGTCCACAGTCTATGTCCTACCTACTGAAGCTCAAGCCATGTTTGCTTGGCTTCCAATCATGACGACCCATCCATGATCCTTTCAACAGCAGGTTTAGAATTGTTATCTTGAGATACAGAGGACTCGGCCTGCGCCTGGTTTGCAGTTGGATCCTGTTGAGCATCACTAGCTGGTACTTTATCACAAGGCAGATGTGGAGTAGCTTCTTGATGGGTGACATTGGACTCATCTAAGGTTGTACTGGGTTGCACAGATGCTGATGGAGACGGTGAAGGTGCTGACTGCTTTAGTGAAATGGTGGGTTCCTCTGATGAACTTGCCTGTGACGGTGCAGTTGTCAATGGCTTTTCAGGTGGAACTGCACTGTCAACTTCCAATGGACTTTGTTCCACATCTGGTACCTGTGTGTCCAATATTCTGTCCCCATTTGAAGCTGAATCTGATTTCTTGGTGTCTGGAATTTGGACTTCCATGGGTTCCTCGCTGGCAGCTTCAGGGACAGGAGAGTTTGCCACAGGGGTAGATACAACGGAGATTATCTCCTCTGTAGTGTCCATAGCAACAGCATCTCCACTGTGTTCACTGTCCATGACTTCCTGGGCCACTTGGTCACTTGAAGTATCCACATTGGCCCTGGTTGACTTTGTGTCTTCAGGTGGCTCCGTAACTTCATCAGTGCTTTTCTCTCCACTTCCTGATTGCTTTCTTTTATCAGACACTGTGGTCTCTGATGAACAAATATCTTTGGGTGTTGGTGTCTCTGTTTTCTCAGCAGATGAATCCTGAATGTCTCCATTGTTAAGCTGAGTGCTGGGAACTTTCTCTTTCACTGAAGCCTCTGAAGAGCCTGGAAGGATATTTGGTTCTGTCTTGATTTCAATGTCTGGTGTTTTGGATGAAGGCGCAGGTGTAGTGTTTGCACTATTTCTCCTGGCTTCAGCGGCCCTTTGGGCTGCATGGCGTGCCTTGGCTGCCACAGATTGACGCTGCCTCTTGATGCAAGGACGACAGATGAACTCTTCATCATCTGCTGGCTCCTGTGTCATACCTATTTAATACAGAGAAAAAATTATCCAGATAAAAAAGCACATGGTCACTGTGCATTACCCAGCAAGTATTGAATAGCAGTCTTTGCTTTCTTCACATTCTTAGAGTGCACATAGTAGTAGTTACTAGGATTGTCACTCGGATGCCAACAGACAAACTTGTTCATATTACTGCTAACTTACCTATGCATAGTAGATGATACCACTTTTCACACTTGTCACACTGTACCCAACTGATGTCATCTCCAGTGGGCTGTAGACAGTGTTTGGCTGAACACTGTTCATCATCATCATCCCCATCCACATTGACAAATAGCTCTGTCTCTAGCTTCTTATTCTTGTCCTTCTCTTCCTTAACTGTTTGAAAAGAGGAATCAGCAACACTTCAATAATAATTGGAAAATCAAACTCTGTGGCAAGGTACACTGGCCCACAGTCTTTAATCTATTAGATCACTGCCAAACTCGAGCGTGGATTTGGATGGATTAAAGGGAGTTACCTTCAAGTCACCAAATATTCCACTTTAACTCTGGTGCATGTTCAACCTTCAATGCATCCCAAATGCCAGCCAAAACTGGATGAAAACCTACAATCTGGGGATGCATTACCAAAGCACAGCAGTCCTTTAAATCAAGGAGGGATCCAGTGACCCAGAAACAGTATCTTGTATTTTGCATGGCTTACATGCTGGACAATCTTCATAAGCACGATGTTTATGAAAATGTGAAATTTCAAAATGCCACAATAACATGTTCCATAGTAACTGATGTAAACCATGTCCTATCACAAGTTGGTTTCATAGTAACCTATGTAAACCATGTCCTATCACAAGTTGGTTTCATGGTAACTAATGTAAACCATGTCCTATCACAAGTTGGTTTCATGGTAACTAATGTAAACCATGCCCTATCACAAGTTGGTTTCATAGTAACCTATGTAAACCATGTCCTATCACAAGTTGGTTTCATAGTAACTGATGTAAACCATGTCCTATCACAAGTTGGTTTCATAGTAACCTATGTAAA